AGGTTAAATCTCTCCTTGTTCAGTTTCCATCCATTATTCATTGTCTGTGTTAGATCGGTGGATCGGGTCACATAGGAGGCGAGACGCAAAAGTGAACAGTCAGCTCTTTATTGTGACTTCAGAACAAGGACAGCTAAAGTGTGTGAGCCGCTTGGCTTTATACAGCCGGCCGGTGGCTCGGCCGCCAATGGCAGTGCTTTGAATCTCCCACGATCGGCTCGGCCAATCGCAATAGATTCTCAGCGCTCCAATCACAGGCGTTCAGTGAACCAATCGGGTTGCGGTCCAGACGGACCAATCGGAATGCGAGTTTACAAGAATGTTAATACAGAACACCCCTCTCCTCATGGTTTCATCCGACGGAGCATTGTGACATAGTCGCGCAGGTAGGTGGGACTCCGAACCTGCCTAGTTGACCTGCGCGGTTCAGTCTGTGTGTGATCGTCGGCCGGTTCGGACAGGCTCCGCGTCGCTCTCAACTCCGTTGATGGAACTGCCTGGAAGGGTGAGCTGGGCCTGTTGCCGCAGCTCCCGCCCGGACTACCTGGGTCGGTCGAGTTGCGGTTCCTGTTGCTCTCGCTTGGTGTTTCCGGGCTGGTTGAGCTGGCTTGGCTGTACCTTCCAGGTGAAGATCCCGTCTGCGACAGTTCGAGGTCTGCTGGTGAGTATGGTTGGTTTATTTGAATGTTGCTGTCTTCTGATGGGGGGTATTCAGCTTGCGTTGGGGGTGTGTGCCGTTGACGATTCCGGCCTTTCGTCATTTCACCGCTTGGTTGTTGAGGCTTCCCCTCCCTCTCTGCTTTCCGTGGTTGTTGTTGGGGCGTCGGGGGTGTTGGCGGCTAGTCTGGACCGTAGCTGGTCGATGTGCCTCTTCCAGCTCCTTCCATCCGTCATTTGGAGTCTGTACGATCGGGGCCCGGTTACCGGTGTTATTTGTGCAGGTACCCAGAGGGGGGTCTCCCGAGAAGTTCTTTGCGTAGACCGTGTCCCCGGTGTTGAATGCCCGGTACCGGCTGGAGGAGTCCGGGAGTTTCTCTGGGTTGTAGGTGGGGTGTAGCCAGTCCAGTGGAGACCTCAGTTTTTTTCCCATCAGTAACTCTGCTGGGCTCTTGTTCGTGGTCGTGCTTGGCGTGATGTGCTGTATGAAGAGTAGTTTTTTCTTGGATGTCGCCGGTTTCGATTTTTTGGATGGTTTTTTTGTGTGTATTGGACCATCCGTTCCGCTCTACCGTTCGCCGCTGGGTGCGCCATCGAGGTTAAGGCGTGTCTGATGCCCCGTTCGGCCAGGTATCTTTCAAATGCCAGTGCCGTGAACTGTGGGCCGTTGTCCGACACTAAGACATCCGGTAGCCCATGCGTTGCAAAGAGTCTGTTGAGCTTGTCGATGACCGCTTCTGTTGTTGTTGCCCTCATGGTGCTTACCTCCAGCCAGTTGGAGTAAGCATCTACGGTGATGAGGAATGTATGCCCCTTGGTTGACCCGGCGAAGTCTATGTGTATTCGCGACCATGGTCCTCTGGGGGTTTCCCATTCCAGGACTGGGGTGGCAGGGGGGGTGGATCTCGACTCTTGGCACCTGCTGCAGCCGGCGACCCATGTCTCGATTTGTTTGTCCATCCCTGGCCACCAAATGTAGCATCTGGCCAGGGCTTTCATCTTGACAACCCCCGGGTGTCCCTCGTGCAGCATTGCCAGCACTCTATTTTGTAGTGTCTCTGGTATGACTACCCTGTCTCCCCAGAGTATGCACCCCCTTTGTGTGAACAGCTCAGTTTGGCGGTTTCGAAAGGCTTTGAACTGTTTGCCGCCCTCGTTTTCCGGCCATCCCCGCTCTACCCAACTCAATACCCGTGCCAGCCGTTTGTCTTTATTTGTTTCACGGGCAATGTCTGGCATGGTTAAGAGTGGGCTGGGTAGGGTCTCGATTTGCAGGATTGTCATTGTGGGCGCTGGGTCATCATCTAGGTCTGGTAGTGGTGACCAGCTTAATGCGTCAGCGTGCAGAATGTTCTTGCCGGGCCGGTGTGATAGTTCATACGAGTACGCAGCAAGGAACTCGGACCACCACGTCATCCGGGGCGACAGGATGTTCGGGGTGGCTTTGTTCCCCGCGAGTATCCCAAGTAGGGGTTTGTGGTCCATAATGATCGAAAAGGTCCTACCGTAAAGGTACTCGTGGAACTTTTTCACTCCGGCGATGATGGCGAGGGCTTCTTTGTTCAGTTGGCTGTAATTTCTTTCCGGTCTGGCCAGCGTTCTGGAGAAGAAGGCGATGGGTGCTTCCTTCCCGTCGGGTAGGGTGTGGCTGAGGACCGCTCCGATGCCGAAGGGTGATGCATCGCATGTTACCGTGAGTGGTAGGGTCTCGCTATACTGGATCAGGACTGCGTCTGATGTCAGCAGGTTTTTTGTCTGTTGGAATGCAGTCTCCTCCCGCTTTCCCCAGGTCCAGGTGGCTGCCTTATCAAGTAGCTGGTGTAGGGGTTCCGCCACGGTCGCCTTCTGGGGTAGGAAAACATTGTAAAAATTAAGCAGTCTCAAGAATGCCTGTAGTTCCGCCTTGTTTGTTGGTGTGGGGGCTTCTTTGATGGCTCTGAGTTTCTTTCCAGTTGGGTGTATTCCGTGCCGGTCCAGGAGGTACCCCAGGAATTCGACCCTCTCGGTGTGGAGTTGGCATTTGTTTCTTTTGACTTTAAGGCCGCCGTCTTTGAATTTGCTAAGCACCACCCTTAAACGGGTTTCCAATTGTTCTCTGTTGGCGGCTGCGACCAGCACGTCATCAAAGTAGGGGACCACTTCTTTTATTCCCTGGAGGAGCCTTTCCATGAGACTTTGGAAGACTCCTGGGGCGACGCTGACTCCGAATTGGAGTTGGTTGCATCGAAAAGCTCCTCGGTGTGTAAGAATCGTTTGCGCTTCGGCTGTCTCCGCATGGACCGGCAATTGCTGATAGGCTTGTGCCAAGTCGAGTTTTGCGAAGACCCGGCCACCCCCCAGTGAGTGCAGAAGGTGCTGTACTACTGGGACAGGGTAGGCGCTTTGCTGTAGCGCGTGATTGAGGGTGGCCTTGTAGTCACCGCAGATTCTTATGGAGCCATCGGGTTTGATGGGGGTGACTATGGGCGTTTCCCAGCGGGCATGGTCGATGGGTTCTAACACCCCTTGCACGACGAGCTTGTCTAGTTGCTCGTCGATTTTCGGCTTGAGCGCAAATGGCACTCGCCGAGGTTTGAGGCGGATTGGGGCGACGTTAGGGTTAAGGTTTAAAGAGATAGAGGGCCCTCGGTACTTGCCTAGCGAGTCGTCGAAGACCTCCTGGAACTCCTTTACGAGGGTCACTTCCCAGTCGGCCTCGTCCGTGTGATGGATGCCCGTCACCTCAATTCCCAGCAGGGAGAACCATTGCAGGCCGAGCAAGCTGGGGCGGTCCTTGTCCACGACTGTGAGTGGCAATATTTCGATGTGGTTCTTGAAGGTGACTTTAAAATGTCTGATGCTGGCCACAGGGATGCGGTTTCCCTGGTAGTCTTTCAGGATTAGCTTCTGGTCGTCTAGTTCGTTGCGGCGGATGGTCGGTACTAGGTGCTTGATTGTGCGCCAAGAGACCATGGAGAGGTAAGACCCGGAGTCCACTTCCATCTCGCAGGGCTGGTCCTCGATGCTCAGCGCCACGTGTACCTTTCGGGCATCCATGGTTGATGAATGGCCGATGACGACCGTCTGGTGGGTCTCCTCGCGCCGCTGTGCTTCGCTGAGTCATCTGCTGCGGCTGTCGCGGCTCCACCGGCTCTCGGTCTGGCGGTCTCGGTGCCTGGGGGGAGTGTTGTCTTGTCATCGGGGGCTGTTTCCTCGTTGTTGTGGGCTGTAGCTCTTTTTGTTCCAGCACACCTTGGCGATGTGCCCCCGCTTCTCGCAATGCCACCAGACGGCGTCGAGAAAATGGCATTCGGAGCAGGGGGTGGTCGCTGCCACAGCCGGCGCAATGGAATCCCAACTTATGTCCCCTTCGGTCCCGGCGGTCGCGCTCAGTCTGTAGCCGATGGATCTCCTCGTCTTCGTCCTTGGTGTCGGATTGGGGTTCGAGGTCACCATGATGTGTGGTTGTTTCTCGGTGGCTGGCTTCTCCGGGCGTCGCTGGGGCTGGGGTCACTTCGTTGGTCAGTGGCCGTTCAGTCGTGTTTGCTTGTCGCATCCGGGCTGCTGATTGGCGGGTGGCCTCAGCGGCAGTAGCCTCGGCGAGGGCGTCGGCGAGGGAGATGTCGCCCTTGGCCATTAACCGGCTTTGCAGCACGGGGTCTCTGAGTCCGAGGACGACTCGGTCACGAAGCGCCTCGTCCAGGTCGGTGAACCTGCAGAGGCCTCCCAGGTTCTACAGTTGGGCCATGAAGTCGCCTATGGTTTCGCCTTCGCGCTGATCTCGGCGGTAGAAGTCGTGCCTACGGATGAGTATGGGCATGGCAGGGGCATAATGGCGGCGCAAGATGGGCTTGAGGTCAGCCCAGTCCATCTCTTTTACTTCGGTGGGCTTGGCCAGCGCCTTGGCCATCTTGAATACCGCGGGGCCACAGTGCGTCAGAAACACTGCCTGTTTCCTCTGGCCATTGGCGTCCTTGAGGTTGCTGCATTCCAGGAACATCTGGAAGCGATCGGTGTACGACTCCCAGTCCTCGGTGGCTGGGTCGAACAGAGCGGGTGGCGGGGTGCTGGCCATCTTGCAGGTCATTGTGCGCCATTTGCCACGTGCTGGTTGGTCCTCGCCTCATGATCCCACCTTCGTCGCCAGTGTTAGATCGGTGGATCGGGTCACATAAGAGGCGAGACGCGAAAGTGAACAGTCAGCTCTTTATTGTGACTTCAGAACAAGGACAGCTAAAGCGTGCGAGCCGCTTGGCTTTATACAGCCGGCCGGTGGCTCGGCGGCCAATGGCAGCGCTTTGAATCTCCCACGATCGGCTCGGCCAATCGCGGTAGATTCTCAGTGCTCCAATCACAGGCGTTCAGTGAACCAATCGGGTTGCGGTCCGGACGGACCAATCAGAATGCAAGTTTACAAGAATGTTAATACAGAACAGTCTGGCCTTTGGGTACTTTAGAAAATAGCTTGACCATTTCCTCTCTGTGGCAGAATCTCAAATATTGGAATATTGCTGTCATGTCTCCCTTGGTCCTTCTCTTCACTAGACTAGCCATGTCCAGTTCCTGTAACTGTTCTTCATATGTTTTAATCTCCAGTCCCCTAATCATCTTGGTGGCTCTTCTCTGTACTTTTTCAAGAGTCTCAACATCTTTTTTTATAGTTGTGATGACCCAAGGCATGAAACAAAAATAACCAAGTCACAAAAATAGAAGAAAGTCCCTTTAATGCCTCCAGCCTGGCCCCAATGTCCAATTATCCCTTGACAAATGTAGAAGTTTATTTTTTTTTTTTATATCATAAGAAACTGAGAAATCTTAATGTTTATTTACAAAAATGATGGGAGTTTGTTATAATATGCTTGGAAATCAAGTTTCTTTTTTTTTGGTTTTGAAATCAGCATTTGAACATTTTATTCTTATTTATTAAATGTATTAATAAATTAATTATAATTTTATTTTTATTGTAAGAGTCATTGAAACATTTCTACTTTTTATGTAAATAAAGCTTATGTAATCTTTGATGTAGCAAGGTGAGTTTTTCTTGTTTTTTTCTTTTCTTTTTTTGAGGCCTGATCAGATAGTTAGAAGAGTACTGTCAATAATTTTTCTCTCCAGAAGATTTACTGAATTTTAATTAGAATATTTTAATAATAAGAAACTTATTGGGCAAAATGTTTGTGTATTATCTCTAAACCAGTGTCTTTAAAATTGGCAATTTGAAGATGTATGGATGTCAGGTCCCCTTCTTATTTTATTTATTTATTTAGTTTAGTTTGTCAAGCATGTATTAGAAAACAAGTATATGTATGAACATAACATATAAACATATACGCATTAAGTGGTATAAGTATATATATAATAAATGAGTACAAATAAATGGGAAAAGTAGGACAGGGATGATAGGCATGCTGGTGCACTTATGCACATCCCTATACAGACCTCTTAGGAATGGAGTGAGGTCAATGGTAGACAGATTAAAGTTAAAGTTTTGGGGGCTTGAGGATGTAACAACAGAGTGAGGTATATATATTGCTGCATTGAAAATTGCCAAGTGTTTAGCCAGCCATGGTAGCTACCAGTGGATATAGATGTGATTAAAATCAATTGCAAGGATGTTGAAAGGATTATTTATTACTTCTAAGAACCTCCCATTCAGCTCTTGTTGTCTGAAAGATTTAGGATTGGGGGGGCGGTTTGCAAAGAGAGATGAAAGAGAAACTTAATGGGAAAATCTAACTAACTGTAATTGGATGAATTGCGTGTCAGAAGATCACGATCAATGTATAAGGGGAAGTGGTCTTACTGCACATACAAATGGAAAGAAGCAAGGAGTGTGGAGGAGATTGATAGGTTCAAATATCCAGGGGAGTATGAACCTTGGCTGTTTGGTCTGGATGGATTACTTCCCGGAAGAGTTGTGAGGAGGATTTGTACATATAACGATCTAGGACTTTGGAGCTTAAATTGATATTGATAAGGGAGGAATGAAACCCCCTTTTCTCCCACATCAACCTTGAGCCCTTGTTCTAATGTCCAGAATTTGTCTCTCAAACTGGCCTTGTTTCCCGTTTGGTTGAAGAAAAGAGCACAGCCTAAGAGAGCTCTGAGCTGGTTTGCTTTTATTCAGCTAGCAGCAAAACATATTAGCATGTAAACCATTTACAAAGATTTGGAGGTAACACTGCAAGAGACAAATCCAGGAGGACATTGCACATTGAGTGGAATCTTCAACGTTTACCGAAAGTTTTCCTGAAGGTCTGCTGGGAGACCTTCGTTGCAAAGGCCTCATGAATAACCATACAACTATACATGTTCCCATGATTCCAAGATGCATCAGGGATTATCAATTTGCTATACTGGATGTAGGAATCACCACTTTCCTTCACAGCTGGAGTGTTGATGTAATCATCTTCTGAAATGGCAATGCCATTCTCTAGCCACTGGACATCAGTACGATGTGGGGAAAAGTTACTAATGAAGTGAATTTCCGGGGATAGGAGAATGGACATGGATGATGGATGCCTTGCTTTTTTCTTTTTCTTTTCTTCTTTCTGTGAACATGGAAAGAAAAAAAAGATAAAATCACATATTATTTCATTTAGGATAAAGTAATGGAAGCAGTACATGGGTTCCCATGTGTTAAGTAATGATTTATTTTAGATTGCTAACCACTGGGGACTGGTTTGCTTGGGAGATTAACAAGGAAGCCACAATTATAATTAGACAGAATTGACTGAGAGATCATATAGCCTTGCGAGCCAAAACAGAACTTGATAAAAAATTCTCAGCCAAGATGACCAATGAGTCATCTGATGGCAGGACATGCAACTCCTCTGAAGGGCTTAACTCCAATGTCCAGCCTTCTAACATTACTCTGCATTATGTATATGTCTGCAGGGCAGCTATTTTCCAAAGTACCTGAAGGCCAGACAAAGAATAATGGATGGAAACTGAACAAGGAGAGATTCAGCCTGGAAATAAGGAGACAATTTCTGACTGGAAGAACAATCAACCCATGGAACAGAAGTTGCCTTCAGAAGTTGTGGGAGCTTCATCACTTGAACATTTCAAGAAGAGACTGGACTGCCATCTGTCAGAAATGCTGTAGGGTCTGCTGGATGGATGGGGGTTGGATGGATGTCATACAAGGTCCCTTCCAACTCTAACGATCTGTATCCGTATCTAATCCATATCTCAGTTGTTTTAGTTCCTTGCTTGGAGATCAGAAGAAGAAACAAAAGAAAATCTGTGACTGGAGACAATTGATGACAACTGAACATTCTGTTTTCCATCTCTGGCTTGGTGGTACCCACCATGTATTGCAAATGTTTTCATCTGTACCCACAAAATACTGAGAAATTAAATTCATTGGTTTGCAAGGTGGAGAGCCACTCTGCTTCCTCTTTACCACTGCTCTTGGAAATTGTCTTCATGATGGGACCAGGCAAACCTGGATATTCTTCCGAACAGGTGAAAATCTCTCCCAATTCCCAGTCATGGGCAGAACAGGGAGGCGGCTGACAGCAGTGAAGGTCCCATTGTTTTCCTCGATCACAGCCACTAATTCTGGATGCATGACGATTTGCTTCTCATGTGACCAGCTTATTTTCAACCCCTCTTCCTGTTACAGATTGACAACCATGCAAACGATCTTGGATTTCTGGTTATGCACAAGTGTTTTGGCTGTGGTGGCAGAAGGTAGGTGTTAATCCTAGTGGATAAATTCCTGCTGGGATCTATAGATACAAAATTCATGTCAGTGCTTACGTCCCCCTCCCTTAGACCCTTCATCTAATTTCTCCTTTTCTTCTTGATCAGCTTTTGAGCTTATCCAGGTAAAATGTTGCTTGAATTGTCCAATGTTTTATTATTTGGCCCCAATCTTCTATGGCTTAGTGTTTTCCATGTCTTCCTTTCCAAAAGTATTCCTTAGAATAAAGTTCATCCTCTTTGAGTTCCTTTCCAAAACATGAGGTCTCCCTGCCTTTGGAAAGAAACTGGAAGGATTATGTTCTCCAGATTCTTTTATGATACCTCCATGATGGCCTCGGACACCTCCCCATCCTTCTTCATTTCAACCATTAAATGCAAGAAAAGGGACATGAAGACGTGCCAAAAGTTTCATATTGATAAATCTGCTACAGGGATAAAAAAGGCCATTAAACCTTTAGAAAAGTATCAAGACAAATTGCACTGAAATCCATCATGAATTTTGGAAACCTGTTCTCTCATTATTGAAACATCAAATGGCTTTACTTGGATTTTTCCTTCTCCAAATTAGAAAGCTCCAAATTTTTCTATCTTCACACCAATCACATCTTGCAAGTTGCATTGAAAAGGCTCCCTTTTTTCTGTACTGTATGATTTTTGGTCCTAAGAAAAAATCTGATCTTATTCTGAATGCTAAATCTTTTCCCCACCCTTCCAATGTTGTATTCAGTGGTTAATTTTTCTCTGATCAAATCAACTGACCTTTGAGAAAAAAAAAGGAGAAGAGTAATTTTGCTGGACTCATGGCCAAAATGTTTGTTGATTCTGGAGTTGGTGGTTTAATGTGCCACATTGTGGAAGAATAACTCAGATTCCCACTGGGTGGCAGGGATGGTGAGCAGGATGGTATGGCTGGATGCATGCTGAACTGGAGGGAAGTGGTAGATTCCACTGATGATGGCACCTGAATTCCATTGTACTGTGGCTGGTTCAGGAAAGTAGCCTTTGAGAGGCAACCAATGCTAACATTGAAGCCAGTGGAAGTCACCCTGGCCACCTGGGTTGGGCTAGTAGGAATCAGTGGGGAAACATTGGGGGCTTTGGGAGGATCTGCAAAGGGAAAGATAAATAAGGAAGATGAAGTTGCTATGGAGATATTCTCCAGTAGACTTGTGTGTTCTAGGCAAAATAGACTCTATTAATGTTTTTCCAGCTTGATAATTTTAAAGGTGTATGGATTTCAATTCAGTTCCTTCCCAGGCACCAGGAGAATTGACACAAATAATGTGAAGGATTCTGGGAACTGAAGTTCACGCCTCTTAAAGTTGCCAAGTTGGAAAAATACTGCTCCATACCATACCTGTGAAATAGTGGAGAGAGAATTTCCAGGGAACTGTCACCATTCTGATTTCTTTGTTTCTTTACTCAAATAGAATTAGTGAAAAAGATAAATATGGAATACCTATATTGTACCATTAGCGCTATCCATCATCTGGAAATATCTGAAATATTAAATTAAATTAGTGCATGGGATAGACAGGCCTCAAGATCAAGATTTTTTTTAAAAAATAAAACAATGATAAGGTTCTTCGTGTGCTGAAACTGTAAAATCTTCACACCTTTCTTTCTGCTTTAGCCCTATATTTCAGATTTTGATGTGCAAATATTCTTTTTCTTCAAAAAAAAATTAACTATTGTTTACTACTAAATCTCAGCTTAAAGAGAACTGGATTTCTGGAAAACAAAATTCTAGATTAATTTTACTTCCTTGTATCCATTCAAATGAGATGCATATTTATTTACAAATATGGAGATATATCGCTCATCTGAAATTCTTAAATTGTAAGCTTTCACTTGAGAGGTGAAGAATTTAATGCAAGTGCTCTGAAACCTCATGCTGGCGAAGAGAAAATGGGAATGAATTGATTCCTTATTTATTTTATTAAGCAAATGTATATATTGCCCAGCTTACAGGTGAAAAAAATTGGGAAAATGTAACAGCAATGTCCACTGAAGGGAAAGAAGCACATAATAACAAGCAGATAAAATTTATGGGATGAACAGAAATTCATGTTGGCTTAAACAGATCATACATCAAAGACCCACACACCACCATGAACCATGCCTCCCTTAGGAGAAGAACCCTCCCCCCGCATCAAAGCATCTCAAAATATGTCCTCATCTTTGCAACTCAGTTATTACTTCCTCTTATTCAGCCCCATTTTGGACTGTAAAGAAACAAGCAAGTTGCTATGGAAAAAAATGAATCTTCCAACTGACTAGATGCGAGAAATTTCCTGCCAAGGCAATAGAAAAAAAACAGATTAATTTGTAGATTCCATTTCTATTTGTTCTGTTTTGAATTAGCATTTGAAAGATTCCTTGAGGGTGACCACTATTTCTTTTTCCAGTGGATGATGTACCACTTTAAATCTTTCAGCTGCCAGACATTTTCATCTGACTGTCATAATTGGCCAGGATGCCAGATGGTAAATTTGGGGCCTTGGAGATCAATTTGAAATCCTACCAAAGGCCACCTGGATTCAAACTGGTAGCTAGGACACAGGAATCAGTAAAAAGAGTTGGTGTTAGGTTATTAAATTTAGTAGCTGGAACAGTAAAGTGTACAATGGGTACAAGCAGTTGATGGGTTGGAGAATGCTGGCTCATGCATGAGGCAATCTATCCAGCTATGATTGTTTACTGGGGTATAAAGGGAGAGTTTCTCTTTTTTTCCCTGCCTTTTTGATTTATCTCATGATGTTCCTGTATTCCTGACTATCTTATCTGTTATAAATGATACCTATATTTCTTTATATAAAACTACAAGTTTTGGTCAGTGTCTCCAACTTCATTTGGACAGCTGCTGCACGATTGCCTAGCAGTTGGGCATTCCTGAAGTTAACTTTCCATTAGGAATTGGCAATTCACCTTCTTCCTCCATATTTTTTAAAATCATTCTAGCACTGTTTGTTATCTGAACTTGCTGTGGGCTGAAATAAATTTTAAGTTCATATTGGGACTGGGCCCCATCTGTGAAGAGAAGAAAACCTGTCACCTTAACCTCATATTGGTATAGAAGAGAACAGAATAACAGAGTTGGAAGGGACCTTGGAGATCTTCTAGTCTAACTACCTTGCTCAGAGAGGAAGCTCTATCCTATTTCAGATAAATGGTTCTCTTCTTTAAAACTTTCAGTGCCATACAAACAGCACAGTGTCTAGAGAAACCATTAATTCAGCATCTCACTCCTTTTGAAGCCTGCCAATCTTATGTTTTCTAGATTCAGATTGGGAGCAGATTTTTAAAACAATTTCTGATAGGCTTTGGGCAGTAGATGAATCACATAAATCAGTCAATAAAGATATTAGGATCTGGAAGATCTCTTGATTTTATTACTTGGATCCTTGGGTGTTTCTATATTCAGAAGCTCATCTATCTAAAATGCTAGGCTGCATTTGTAGAGGAATAGAATTATAATCATGTTGAAGAATTATAATCATGTGAATACCCCTTCATAAAGCCATCCTTGGAATTTGGATCCAGTTTTGATCACCACAATATAAAAAAATATGTTGAGACTCTAGAAAGGGTGCAGAGAAGAGCAACAAAGATGATTAAGAGACTGGAGGTTAAAACATATGAAGAAAGGTTGCAGGAATTGGTTCTGCCTAACTTAATGAAAAGAAGGACCAGGGGTGACATGATAGCAGTTTTCCAATATCTAAGGGGCTGCCACAAGAAGATGTGGAGAGGTCAATCTTTTCTCCAAAGCACCTCCAAAGGCAGGGAAAGATTAAATGGATGGAAAGTAATGAAGGAGAGAACCAACCTAGAACTAAGGCAGTGAGAACAATTAACTAGTGGAACAATTAACTTGCCTCCAGAAATGTTGGATGTTCTATCACTGGAGGTTTTAAGAAGAGATTGGAAAAATGCCTGAAATGGTATAGGGTTTATTGCTTGAGCAGAAGTTTGGACTAGAAGACCCCCAAGTTCCTTTCCAACTCTCTTATTCTTCTAATAATTTGGGAGTTTTATATGCCTTTCTCCCACCTTCTGTTAGAGTTTAAGATAGTCCAGACAAAAAGCAGGACTATGAGAACTTGATCTGATAGAAGCTTTTGTCATCATGAATGAGTCCTAAATTTAGCAAAGGAATGGGTTTTTAGGCATTTCTTTTAGGATCTCCAAAATAAAAGCTGGCATTGAGCGATCACCAAAGTTGCTGCTTTGTTCTTTCATTAGTTTATTTGACTCTAACATTGACATAGAGTGCCCCCCAAATTAAAAATGAGCACAGAGCACTAAGCAAGTACCCAGTCAGCATTTTTTTTTGCCTTCCTGCTGATCTGAACTCAGGACTCAGCTAGCAGCTTAGGTATCATGCAGCTGAGCACACAGTTCACAGGAGACATGTTTGCAGGCTGCCTTACCAGCTCAACTCAGAAGTGGAGAAATTCTTGGGTGAGCTTTAGATTCACCCAAGAACCCCGACTCCTAAGACCTCCATTGTTTCCAGTTCCTGAACCTTCAAATGCACCTTCTCTTAACTGAAAGAGCAGGCTTGGCACCCAGATAATATCTTACTCCCTGCCAGTTTCTCTAAACCCTAGCATTCTTCAGGAAGTTCATAGCCAGGCTTCTGGCAGTGTAGAGAAACCCATTTCTGCTCATTAGCTTGACTATATTTGAATATGTTTGATAGGATAACAAAGAGCACGGTGAAAGACCCAACATGGAACAGGTTTCCTTTCTTCTGACACTCAACTCAAAAGTGACTGGTTTCCCAGAGCAGCTATTCCAAGGCACCAATATACTGGAATGCAAGGGTAAGATAAAAAAACAATCAGTTGAGATCAGGGTTGGAGAAGATGCTGAAGTAGCTCATGCTACTACTCAGCTCAAGCTTTCTAAATATCCCAGCTGAACATTATCTTTGATTTTCACTAGCAGAACCTGAATTAATTGGTAAGGTTTAAACCTTCCAGTTAGGTACCCAGCTTGAGAGCTAGCTAATAATCATACTGCTATTCCCTTGTCTCCTGTTTGACTGAGAATGGAAAAATAGATTTAAACTGAGCTTGGATGAGTCTAAAAATTCGTACCAGCCCCAGGATCTTCCTCATTAACCACATCTTTGAGTAACTAACAAAAGGAATCTCCCACCTTGAGATAGTCTCAATTTCTTAATTCGATGCATTTCTTCAGATTCTTTTATATAATGCTAAAAAAGACCATGAGGAACAAAATGGCAGGCAGATCAGATGTCAAATTCTAAGCTTCCTAGTTGTTTATGTAATTTGGAAGAGGATAAGGAAGAGAGAGAAGCTTCTCCTCCTCTCCAGTTATGAAACTTCTACCTCAGCTTCTCAGCTGTCCTTGGCTAGTATGCATTCATGGGTTGCTACCTGCAAAACCTAACTGAAGTTGGACCGTAAACTGGAATAAATTCAGGTAACTTCTGGAAGTACTACAAGCTACCCAGTTCCTAGTTGGGAGGGTCATCTGAGATTTAAGGAGTTATGATGGAATGCAATTACCTTACAAGGTGTTATAACAAGAATTTCAGTCCATTCTTTCTTTCACTAGTGAGATACACTGAAGATGATGATTGACTAAGATTTGCTGTTCGACATCTGTAGGGAAACCTGAACCTCGCTTACCTCAGCTTTCTACATTTTGATCTTCCCAAATCCCAAATTTAGATGAATTGTGTACTCTCCAAGCTGAGTGTCCATGTCGTTGCCAATCTATAGTCAATCCAATGACAATTAAATGGAAAGGACAAAAAAGAAGATCTAGATGGACATTAAATAATACTATTTTAAAGGAAAAAGACTTCACACAGTGGATAGAGAAAGAATTGGCTTTTTTCTTTAGAGAAAACAAAAAAGATACATCAATTCAGAATGTATGGGATACAATGAAGGCATATGTTAGAGGCTTGATAATAGACTATACAAGGAAAAGGAATACTATGAAAAGGCTAGCCTCTAAGGCCCTAGAGGATGAGCATAAAAGACTTGAAAAAGAGCTACAGAAAATGCCACAGAAAAAGGACATCAAGCTAAAAATGGATATAATTAAACACAAAATGGGTCAAATAGAAAAAGAAGAATTAGCACAGAAAATTAGAGATGCTAAACAGAACTACTTTGAAGATGCAAACAAACCAGGTAAATGGTTAGCATACAAATTGAGAAAGGAGAAAGAATCAAGGAAAATATTGCAATTAATAGATGACCAAGTTTGCCATGGTAGCAAAGAGAAGAAGGAAATCATTCAAGACTTCTATGGGAAATTATATATGCAAAAGAATATTGATGAGGAAAGAGTTAAACAGTACTTACAGAATACTAATTTACCTCAGATACCTAAAGAGACTGAAAAAATGTTAGAA